TTTGGGTGGTAAAAACACAAAGCAATTTGTTTTAGGTCCGAGTCCATTGACCTCGATTATTCTATGAAAATGTAAATAAAATATGATTACAAATATTTGCTTGCTTTCCATTTTTTTAGTTCAATAGCGGAAAAATCACTACTGGTTATGGAGAACCTTTTTTTTGGCTGTGATATCAAAAACAAATTTGACTTAAAGGGTTCCGAACGCAACCGCTTAGTAGATCCAACCGATCAGCAGGGTGAAATAGTGCTGTTGGACGAAAACTTAGTGCAAAGTAAGTTAAAATTTCACGTGCCCAATTCTTTCTATTCTATTTTTTGTTATATATTTGCAGTGTCTTGGTCTAAGCCATTATATATTTTATCACATAGCAAGGCAGTCCTTAAAGATGCTATCAATCGAGACTCTACTTTCTTGGAAAAAAACCAAGTAATGGATTATTCGTTACTTGTAGGCTTGGACCATAAAAGTAACGTGCTGGTATTGGGCATAATTGGTAGGTTCGCGTACATACAAATCAAAATAAAAACTTCCATCTTTTCCATCCATTAATTTTCCAGACTATATACGAACTTTTACTTTTGATAAAAAGGTTGAGTCCTTTGTTAAACAAACTGGTATACTTGGTGGCATTGGAAAACTACCAACTGTTATATCGCCAGAACGTTATAAGCAGCGCTTTATCGATGCCATGGATCGCTATTTTTATACAGTACCAGATCGCTGGGAAGGCCTGTCGAAAATTTGATAAATAGTGACATAATGAAGCAGCAGCGAATGAATTAAATGGTATCTATCAAAGTTATGTAGCATTGCTGCGCTATAAAAATGCATGTATTTCTAATGAATTCTATATTTCTTTGAAAATGCATTCATAGCAGTGGCGTAGCCAGGGGGGGGCGGGGATTTCGTCAGTGAAATGAAAATTTTTATTTTTGAATTAATAACACAATACTATTTAACCCTTCCGATTTATAATATTTTATTTCAGACTGATGACAAATTTTCTTGTAATGAATATATAAAATTATCGGTTGGTGGATTATGTATTTTAATATTTGTGAAATACACTAGGCCATTTTGCTTAGTTCCCCACAGTGTTGGGAACTAATCTATAATCTATACAAAAGCTGTACTTTTCGACTGTAAATTGTATCGACTTTTTAATTTGCTCGTATGCATGCATGCATACATAGATTCCCTTCAAGACCAATGCTTTGATGGTATTCATGGGAAAGTTTATGTANACATAGATTCCCTTCAAGACCAATGCTTTGATGGTATTCACGGGAAAGTTTATGTAGGTACATTTACATATTTTACACTTTTAATATAAATGTCAAGGCAGATATTTTAAGATACACTTCTTAACAAACAAATTTTTTTAAGTTATTATGAATGGATGAAGAATTTGAATTCAGTACTAAAACTTGACATTTCAAGTGCTTATCAAAACTTTATACATGTTAACTAGATTGGCCATTTATCTTAGAATTTTATAATTTTAATTATTTGTTTATAAAAGTGCAGTTTACGCTTTAATAAAACCCGTATAAATCCAAGGTCCAAACTTTCGCAAAGCTTTTTAATTAGATATCCTATAAATACATATTTTGAGTATGCAGGTTTGTAGCCCGATCAATTCAAATAAAGCGCAAGTTTAAAATACATAGCTGCGGCTTATCGTTGATTTTTTTTATTTTTTTTTTGGTGGAGGCGTTGCTCATTTTCTTCATTAAAAACATCGTCAAACATACTTAGATCATATGGAAGAAAATTACCGACATCGTCAAAAATCAACTGTAAATCACAGCTACTTTAAATTTGCACTTTATTAGACTAAAATTGAATGAGCTAAAAAACTGCAAAATATTAAGAGATCAAATTGAAATAGAAAGATTGTCGATACTTTTTTGATGTTCAAAGATAAAACTTGATTTCATTTAGTGTTTGTTAAGGAATAAACTACATTTTTTTAAACAAATTATTCATATTAATATATATTAAAATAAATAGTCAAATCTACTCAATATGTGAGTGTCGTAAAGTTATGATATATAAGAACATCTCTTTCTTAATAAACGATGACACTTTTTCTATATGAAGCTGATTTCAACATTTTGTTTTAGTAAAATTTAGTATAGAAAATATTCTTTCAAAACTTGCCTAGGAATGTCGTTCGTTCAAAACCTTTTTTAAAAACNAGGCGTTGCTCATTTTCTTCATTAAAAAAATCGTCAAACATACTTAGATCATATGGAAGAAAATTACCGACATCGTCAAAAATCAACTGTAAATTACAGCTACTTTAAATTTGCACTTTATTAGACTGCAAAATATTAAGAGATCAAATTGAAATAGAAAGTTTGTCGATATTTTTTTGATGTTCAAAGATAAAACTTGATTTCATTTAGTGTTTGTTAAGGAATAAACTACATTTTTTTAAACAAATTATTCATATTAAAATATATTAAAATAAATAGTCAAATCTACTCAATATGTGAGTGTCGTAAA